AACATCGTACCTAGGCCCGGAACACATAACACATAACATGCATGAATCAAAAAAACATCAAGCATACATACACACTTCTCGGGACCGCCCCGACATCGGACCGAAGTCCGGAACACATAATCTGGATTGGGTTACCCTGTCATCAGACCGAAGTCTAGTATGCGCTAACAAACATAAACGGGCCAACATTTGTGCCTTCGACCTGTTCCTACTGAAGGAAAAATCACCTCTCAAACTGGCTGCTGATAACTTGAGTGAGGGATTTCCGATGGATGCTCCAATGACTCCCCGACTATACATTCACAAAACATTTAGTCAAAAACTGAAAATCCTTCTAAGGCTAAAATGACCATTTTACCATTAGTTAAAGTCAATGATCTGGTCAAAGTCAACATTCTGGGTTGAAAAATTCTCCGATTCAACCTTTCAACTCGCCGATCTCTTTAACTCAGAAATCCTGGAATCACGACTCAACTCACTGAGTCATTCCTCGTCGATTCCTATCGAGCTACTCATAGTTATGACTTGGTGAATCAACTCATCGATCCCCTCTACAGACTCCTCGAGTTCTACCTTAAACTGGAACGGGACAACACGACCCAACTCGCTGAGTTCCCTTATGGAATTGACGAGTCCCTGTATCTGTTTGGTCATCATAATGGATTAAGCCCATGTTCTTTAGATCCAAAGTCCATACTTCGCTTGTTCACTGGAAATGATCTTTCTAAGGGTAAAGTTTCCAACTTTACCCGTTGATAGCCCTTCTTTAAGGGTTTAGTTAAAACCTTCATTCTTTTAGGAAATAGATCTTGTCCAAAAAGCCTTAATATCCCAAACCAAAGCATGAAAACCTAGATCTACGGCCTAGATACCAGTTGAACACGTAAAGTCTTGAGCTTGCTTCCATCCATGGCCTTTTGGTCTCAAAAGGCCATAATGACGTCCTTGGATCTTGCATGGGGGCTCTAATGATATAAAGTTTGCACCTTTATGCCATTCCATCCCTTTAAGGTCTTAGATCTGGAAGATTACCCTCTTGGGCCGATCATTCTCCAAAGGTCGTCATTCTTTGACCAAAAACCCACATAAAGAGGACATAAAGAGATCTAATGAACTAATAGCCAAGATAAGAGCTTGATTACTAGAACGTGTAGCAAATGGTGTGTAGTTCATGGATCTACTCTTCCCCTATTGGGCCCTCTATCTTCTTCTTCTTCTACAAGCTTCAAAAACACACCATGATCACTCAAATGGCTCCCACTCTCAAGGAAAACTCTAGGGTTTCATAGATTATGGTTTAGGACAAGGAGGATGGAAATGAGGCCAAGGGGTGGGGGTTAAGGAGCTTAAATAGGGTGAAAAAACCCAAGATTAGGGTTTCATGCTGGCCAAGCTACTCGTGGAGTCGAGGTCTCCTGACTTGTTGAGTAGATAGCTTAAACCCCACACAATAACTGCTCTTCACTCTACGGGTTAGGGCCACCAACTTGTCGAGTCCGTCTTTCAAAATTAATAAATAAATAAGTTAAGTGCGTACCAGGAACCAGATGCTACACAATTGGCTTTAACCAGAAAAATTCATCACACCCTTTTGCATTATCAAGAGTAGCCATGGAGTTTAATTCAAAATTGTCATTTTTGTCCTGTCCTTTCTTTACAAAAACTTGATTTGGTGTTTTTTAAATTCTTGGAAAAACGTTGCTTCTTCTTTCAAAATTTATGTACACTTATTTTCAAAAAATTTAACAAATTCGATTGAGTTTTCAGATATTAAAATTTTCTTTGGTTCATCCAGTTTTTTCACAAAATTAGAACAGTCGATTTCGTCTTCTACATATATTTTACTCATTTCGCTTTCATCAAATTCAGAAATATTCTCAGAATTGAGAGTATTTTCCGAATTCAGTTTCTTGCATAATAAGTCATATTTCTGCATAACACTAATTTTGATTTCTTATTTATCTTTTTCGGTAAAGATATCTTTCAACATGTTTTTATGTTCTTTGGACTTAATATATTATTCAATTTTCTCAAGTCCAACTTTGTAAGAATCAGAGACATCATATAAAGATATGATTGATTCACATTTATAACCTTCAACATCAATCTCATCTTCTTTCAGTTCAAGAAAAGGAAAATCATTTTATGCAAACCTTTACCTGTTTGTCAATCTAAATGTAGCCTAGTTATATTAAAATACAAATGTTTAGAGACTAAACAAAAAATGTTTTGCTATTTCAAAAGTACTCTATTATCTCTCTTAAGCAAAATAATATCATCTCTAATTCTATTAAGCTCAACCTCCAAAGATTCTATTCTTATTTGTCTCTCATCATTCTTAAATGTTATCCTGTTAAGATTATCATTTAGATTAGAATTACAAATACGAGTCCGTTTCAATCTATCACTAAAATCAGAAATCGCCTAACACAAATCATTCAATTCAGAATCATAATGTGATATAGGGATATTAAGAGATTTAAGAATATAGTGTAGCTTGTCAAAAACCTTCTTGTATTCACTCACTTGTTGCTTGATTGTCTTCGTAGCAAAAAAACTATCTAAAGCTTTTTCACCATCAGTGGCATATCCTTTTCCTTCAAAACTGCTATTTTGAACCATCAGACACATTCTCTCATAACCTTGCTTTTTGGAGTTCACCATGAAACATCCACCATGAGCAGGTCTCCTTACTTCATCATCTCCTAAGTCAGTGGAACACACTTCGAATTGTACATCATCATTGTCCTCTTGTACCATCAACATAGGGTTCACAGTTAGTGCAATTTTCTTTCAGAGTTCTTCTATTTTTTTAGTGTAGTAGGTTTTGTCTTTATCCTTCTCCTGCTTTTCATTCTGTTTACGTAGCATTCACTCTTTTGCAAAATGAGTATTGCCATGACAATAGTCGCATTCATATCGAGAATTACCTAACAATTTCTTCTTTTTCTTCTCATCATCATTCTGAGAATTCTTATAACTCTCTTCTCTTTGCTTCTCGTAGTTTTAGTTCCCCTGCTTGGACTTGCTTCTAAAACGAGAGCAATTCTTCTTGAAGAACTTCTTTGGGTTAGACACCATCAAAACTTTATCTTCCTTTGAGAGATCATCATCTGAAATGTCAGATTTGGAATCATCAGCAACTGACTTCTTTTGCTTATCACCTTTAGCAACCAATGTCAATGATCCATCACCAGAGACTAGCTTCGTTTCCTTTATGACTTCATCTTCATGAGATTTTAGAATTCCCACCAGGTTTTCCAGAGAATACTTTTTGAACTATTCATGAGCCTTAACCGTAGAAACTATTGATTTACATTAAGATCTGAGACTGTTCATGAATGTTACTTTTTTTCAATAACTTGTCGTTGAAGCTTGTAGTTAATCATTCTATTCAACAAGTGATTAAAGCGATTGACAGTTTGTTCTAGATTCTCATCTAGTTTCTGCATAAAGGATCCAAACTCTGACAAAGGTTTGTAGGGAATGTTCCAAGTTGTCATCACTGGAATATAATTCCTTCAGTCTATCCCAGTTTCCTTTTTCAGTTTCATATGGATTACCAAGAAGGAATGTGTCAGGGGAAGGGCAAATCGAATGATTCTCATTGCCTTTAAATTACACAACAACTTGTCGTTCTCATTATTTGTGTTGTGAGTATGTTCAGCAATGATTGCATCACAGTTAACCTGAGTTTTGACTTCTTTTTTGGTACCCAAATACTTGTACGTTTAAACCGTCATTGCATGCCAAATACTAGATCCATGTGTTTTGATACCCAACACATAATCATCAAAGTGAAGAGCCCAAACCTCATAATCTCCAGGAAAAAGGATAGGATTCCTTGTTGTTGATCCAATGTTGCGTGGGAGATTGAATAAGAGAGAGTGAAGATCGTCGTTAGGCATTTTAACGAGAATTTAAAGGAACAAAATATAGAATCAGATGTGTAAGCTTGAATCGAGTTCAAAGGAAAACAAGAGATTTAGATCTACAATCAATTTGCAATAAACAGATTGAAAACTGTGGAAAACCATTGAGATAACAAGAATGAATCGGAGAAAATTGAGAAACCCTTAATGAAAACCCTTTACTCGACAGAAGAATAGCGATTAGAATACACTATCTCCGACTCTGATACCGATTGATTTCCGAATGAACTTTTTCTATACCAATTGATTTTCTAATGAACTTATTCTAAAACACCAAGTTACTTTAAAGAAAATCCAAAGCTTACTTGTTTTTATGGCCACACTTGTCAAACAAGTTTCTTGCAGATCTTAGGACTTATGTTAAGTTTCGGAATCTGTTTGAAGCTGAAACCACCCATTAAGCCTTTTAAAAGATACCTTTCATAGTTTCTCAACAAACTAATGATCGTTATTTAACAGGAAACCACACATGCACTTAGGAGTCTCTCTTGACTAAAAAGGAAGGGATCGTTGCCTAAGATCCACCTGCTTTTCATATCAAACTTATTTGATATCATAAATCCCACAATTTATATTTTGCTTAATTATTTTTCTTTGGCACACTTTTGCACTAAAATCCTTGTGATTTTACATAGTCTGGTTTCTGTTCCAATGGATATTGTTCTATATTATGCAGAGCTGGAGGGTAGATCGATGATTCCAAACATGATAATTCAGAAAATGGTGATTCCGGAAAGACATTGTAATGGTTTTGGAAATTCAAATCTTTACTTTTGAAATTCAATGGCATCTACGTGTCTGTTATAACGGTATCTGACAACAAACTGATGAGCTGGCATATTTTTATTGGCTTATTTTTCGTCACTATGTGTACATGAAACGACAGTTTCTCTCTCCATTCATCGTCTTTTATATATAAGGATTTCAAATGGTTTATTTTCTCTCACCACAAACATTGCTCATGAATTTTCAAGCAAAATCAAATCCATCTACTGTTCATCTTCTTCTACACTCTTCCATGGCTTCTGCAGAGAATGTTTCATTGCAGATTAATGTGCCTCTGTGACCATGTTGAATGTCAAACCAAACCAGAATCTAATCATTGACCTTGATTCTTCTTGTTACAATGCTCTAATCAGAATTTTGATCAAGTGTTTAAAGTTCTCACCATTGATGAAAGCTATAACAATGTCTGAAGATGTTCCTCTTGTTCATCTCTCCAAAGATTTCTCCACTGCGATCTACAAGATTGAAGATATCATCAATTTTGAAGTTTTAAACCGCAACACCTCGATCTTGAAGCCTAATTTCTACAAACTTCTAGCGCTTGTTACGCCTAAAGTCAGTATTGATCCTGAATCAATTCCTACCACATACTTGATCGAGATGTTCTTTCAAATGGGCTACACTGGTGATATCTCTTTACCGTCGTACTTCAGGAATTTATTCTTACCTCCAATGTGGAATGGATTATTTACTCTCTTGTTCAAAAGCTTTTCAGAAAAGGTTTTAGGTTCTGACAGTGCAAGCATGTTTTTCTACACTTTGATCTCTGGGTTATATCATGCTATCAAATTGGATTTTGGGTATGTTATTTGGGCACAATTTGGTCAAGGCACGAGTTCATCCAGACGAAACCCAAAAATTTCTTTTGCTGATTTCTGGTCAAATGTTGTGAACAGGTCCCTTATTCACTTCATGGTTCCTCAGATGCAACATTATCTAATGACTGAAATTCTGATGCTACAGACCACTAGATTTGTGATGTTGGATCCCAGGAATTTTGAGTTCTTTGGATCTATTCCTGAAGTACTATTGGAAAAGTGCCATTGGAAAATGCCATTGGAAAATGCCATCTTCAGGGATTATAAAAAAATACCCTCTTTTGGTAAAAGGAAAGACAAGGCTACTCCTTTTGGGGGAATGAAAGTCATGAAGAAATCAAAAAATCCAGTTCCAAAACCACAGTCTCCCTCTCCGGTGCTTCAATATCAATCCAAAGAACTCACTTCAATTTGTCCACTCGTTTGTGGATGATAGGATGTCGAAAACCTATGGTGTACACCATATCTTTTTAACACCTTAACTAATTGATCATTTGCAAATTGAGTGCCCCGATCACTAATAAGAGCTTTATGAACTTCAAACCTTGAAAATAACTTTTTAAGAAAACGCACCACCACTCAAGCATCATTAGTAGGTAATGCTTGTGCTTCCGCCCATTTAGATATGTAGTCAACTGCCACAAGGATATATTTATTCCCTTTTGACATTGGTAAGGGTCACATAAAGTTAGTTCTCCAAATATCAAATATCTCACAAACTTGAATATTATTTTGGAGCATCTCGTTTCTTTGACATATTAAGCAACATCTTTAAAAATCGTAGGCCAATAAAAACCAATATCAAAAATATTTTTAGCCGTATATTGTGCTCCATGATGTCCTCCGGTGGGGCCGTTATTGCAATATTCCAAGATTTCCCGACTCTCTTTCCCGAACACACATCTTCATATCATCCCGTCTGCGCAGCTTCAAAAAATGTACGGCTCATCCCAAAAGTAATACTTGATTTTTGAAAAGAATTTCTTCTTTTGTTGTCGGGTTAAGTCTTTTGGAATGTATTCAGTTGCTAAATAATTAGCTATATCTGCAAACCATGGTACCTCACCTGCTATCACCAAAACATATTATTTTGGAAGATCATCTCCAATCTCGTCTTCCTCCAATTCTTCCAAATGCGGGCTCTCTAATCTTGATAAATGACCTGCAACCACATTTCCCATTCCCTATTTATCTCTTATTTTAATATCAAACTCTTGTAGAAGTAAGACCCAACGTATCAATCTTGATCTTGCATCTTATTTAGCAAATAGATAGTTTAGGGAAAAATGGTCGGTGAAAACAATTGTTTTGGACAAGACTAAATAGGGTCAGAATTTATCAAAAGCATATACCACCGCTAGCAACTCTTTCTCGGTAGTAGTTTAGTTTTCTTGAGTTGGGTTCAAAGTTTTACTTGCATAATATATAGGCTTAAAATGTTTGTCAATTCTTTGTCCCAAACGACACCTATCGCGTAGTAACTTGCATCACACATTAGCTCGAAAGGAAGATTCCAATTTGGGGGTATCATTATAGGAGTAATAGTCAACCTTTCTTTTAATAACTAAAATGCTTCATGACATTCTTTAGAGAAATCAAATGGAGCTTCCCCTTTTACATTTGTTGGATGTAATAACTTAGCTATTGTGTCAACTTTTGATCTATGTATCTCGATCCCCAACCTTGAAACCTTGTGTCCTAAGACAATCCCTTCCTTTACCATGAAGTGACACTTTTTCCAATGTAGTAATAGGGTTGTCTTCTCGCATCTTGCTAACATTAGATCTAAGTTGGATAAGCAATCTTCAAAAGAGGATCCAAAAACCGAGAAGTCATCCATGAAAACCTCCAGAAATTTCTCAATCATGTCATGGAAGATAGCCATCATGCACCTTTAGAATGTAGTAGGTGCATTGCATAACCAAAAGGCATGTGTCTATATGCAAAAGTCCCACTTGGGCATGTAAAAGTGGTCTTCTCTTGATCTTGTGGGTCGATTGGAATTTGAAAATACCCTGAGAAACCATCGAGAAAACAATAGTATAGATTACAAGAAATCCTTTGTAGTATTTGATCAATAAATTGTTGGATAAGGTGTCTAAGTCCATAACTTATTTGGTATATACTTGACCCGACCCGACATGGTCCATTTGGGTTGCATTTCATCCAAACTATTTATGGATAATTTTATGAGAGTTATACACATATGATTAATAATATATTAATACGAAGTCATGTTATTTAATTAGTCTTAGTCTTAAATTAATTATGAATTAATTTAGAGATTAAAAGGAAGACTAATTAGATTGTGGGCTATTGGTTTTATATGGTGTGGGCTAACACTCATTTGTTAATGGGCTAGGCTTGTATGGAAGTCCATGGATGATCCATGGAGCTTTTAACCCATGGATCCTTGGAAAAGGAAAGGTCATGGGTTATTAGGGTTTCACCCTAATCATGTACACTATATAAGCATGCTTATGTTGCATGAAATAGCCACTAGTGAAACTAGTGTAACTAGTATGTGTGTTTGTGTGTGGCTGAAATTAGTGTGTGTATACACTCTCTCAAAGTTTTCCAAGAGTTTGTGGTGATTTGTGATTCCATTTGAGGCATTCACACTATTGGTGCTTGGCCCTCAAACTCCTTAGGAATCAAACTCATCATCAAAAGGTATGTAATCTCATCTAATTCTTTTATGTTTAAAAGTACTCCATGCCATGTTAGATAGGTTATAAAAAACTTGGAAAAATTATTATTTTGCATGTATTTAGACAAACATAGATCTTAAGGTTTATTAGGGTTGCATGCACACTTAGGAAGTGTTAGATTGCTCAAAACCCAACAGTGGTATCATAGCCTAGGCTTGCTTGTTTGAATACTTGATGCAAATTGCTGAAAATCGAAGATTTTATGCTGTCTGCACAGCTGACTCGCCGAGTTCATGAAGGGAATCGACGAGTTCAAGGCAAAACTCATCCAACTCGGTGAGTTGGTTCATGCACTCGACGATTTGGACCCCCAGACAGCATATCTTCGAGTTTTGGTGCTGGAATTGGTCTAGAATCATTACCTTAAACTGTTTTGGACTCATAAAACCTGTTTTTGATGTGGTAATGATGATGGTGGACCAATTTCAAAGTTATAATCAAAATTTCAATTTTATATGTGTTCATATGATTCTTGAAATTGTTGATGTGGATGTTCAGGTTCATATGAGTGTTGTTAGTGTTGGGTTTTAGCCATAAGAACTTTCCTATGTGCGCATGCAAAACCCTATTGCTTGGATCTAGGCTTTCTAATAAACATGCTTTGAATCCAAGACTTCTAATAGCTAATTAGGTTAAATAACAATGATGAAACAGATCTAGAATCATACCTTTGAGTTCCTTGTTGATCTTGTTGTCTTGGAGCTTCTAGAGTCACAATTGTCACTCCTCTAATGGCTTACAAACACCAATAGCAAGCAAGATGATTTAGGAGAGTGGAGAGGGAATGGAATCCGACCAGAGGTTCCTTTCTTCAGGTTCTACAAGGTTGTACACGAATTCCCCATCCCAATGGCCTATTTATACCTTTAGACTCCTTAAGGGTTTCACCCTAAACCCTAATTGGATAATCTTCTCTTAAGGCTATCCAAATCCATTCCATAGATAACCCTATGGACGATTTTGAGCTATCCTAAAGCTCTTAGAATCCGTCCAAGGTGTATCCTAATGGATTTATAGTCTAAAGTCTAACTATCAAACAATTGACAGTTTATACCCTCTTATTTAATTAATCTCTTTAAGTCACCAAATTAATACCAATTAATTTATGACTTATATTAATCAAATAGCTAAATATTATTCCTTATAATATTTACTCTCTCTTAACAAATCATCCTTCAAGTTGCTATGGTGAAGGCAACCCAAAAGGACCATGCACCACCGAATATAGTTATAGCCTTAGACACTATTCCAACAGTCTCCCACTTGGATAAGTCTAGTAACTATACAAGTACAATACGGTTTGCAATCGTAGCTCTCAAAGACGCTGTCAACTCTGATCTAATCAATCTTGTCCTTTAGATAAGGGATCGTACAGTCCTCTGTTAGATATCATGCTGACAATCCTATGGAATGGTTAGTCTAGCATTTAGATTTCTCGATCTTCGATTTATTTGACATAGAACTTAATCGAACACATCAATTCAGTTCTGACCGGGCCCGGCACATAAGTCAAATCAAATCATCGAGTGGCCAAGATATCTCTTCTATCCTCTTAGGATAAAATTTACAGATAAACTTCGACTTATATGCATTTACTTATTCATTAACCAACTATACACAACAATGCGTTTTATAACATCAAGTTACTGATGCGTTTTCGCATTATCAATGCACAATCAATTAACAAATAATAAACCATATATCTAGGTTTTAAGACCATATGATATTATCGTCTTGCGATCACCTTTTATATCGTATTCCATAAGGTGATTCCAGCAAGCGCGGGTTTATTCCAATGCTCAAAACCAGTTCATAAGCACTCATGAACGTTGCAGCAACCCTTGCTATGTCTAACACCATTTAGACATTCTACACACCAATTCATGACAATCTTCATTCATATCTACTCCCAACATATGAACGATTGTGGACCATTTGAATAATTCGATTATTCCTAATAAACTCAATTATTCTGGAAGTCAAAACATGCAAAGTGAAACAATAGTTAAACAACTAACATGTGACAGTAACTTTACTCATAAATAAAACTCCTTTATTTAATCATCAAATGTTAATTACATTTATCTATTATACGTTTCTAATACTATCTAATCTATACTAATATCATCCTTCAGCCCAATACTCCTAGCATGCTGCAAGTGCTTAACCCTACTCAGTCCCTTCGTAAGCGGATCTGCTGGGTTATCTTCTGATGATATCCTCTTCACTACGAGTTGTCCTTCTTCTACACGATGTCTAATGAAGTGATATTTTCTGTCGATATGTCGAGATCTACCATGATCCCTCGGTTCCTTGGTCAAGGCAACCGCACCTTCGTTATCACAGAAAATCTCCATGGGCTCCTTTATGGCCGGCACAACTCCAAGATCACCGATGAAGTTCTTCAGCCATATTGCCTCCTTCGACGCTTCGCTCGCTGCGATGTACTCTGATTCGCACGTTGAATCAGCTACGGTTTCCTGCTTGGAACTTTTCCATGTCACTGCTCCTCCATTTAGGGTAAAACCCAGCCCGACTGCGAACGATAGTTGTCCCTGTCGGTCTGAAAGCTGGCGTCACTATACCCTCGCACCTTCAAGTCATCACTCCCTCCAAGGACTAAGAACCATTCTTTCGTCCTCCGAAGGTACTTAAGGATGTTCTTCACCGCAATCCAATGTGCTTTGCCAGGGTTCCCTTGATATCTGCTAACCATGCTCAA